CACACACACACACACACACACACACACACACACACACACACACACACACACACACACACACACACACACATACACACACACGCGCGCGCGCACACACACAAACCCACTATGCATATGTCTAAGCGGTTGCAAAATATTTTAATTCCATAAAACAAAAAAACGCTTAAAAATTATCTACAACAATCCTATCGAGTTTAATATGTAAGCCAGAATCTAAACCGAAAGAATATACGTTATCATTCGGACACTCGCGCGCGCCTAGAATATGCGTTCACGCCGTTCGGCTGTATTTCGCGCCACATTTGACTTTTAATGACCATTTTCCCCATTTGTTCCTTATTCTATTACTGATCGTGTAGTCCTCGTAAACTGCAGACGCAATTCCCGAAAACGAATGAAGCAAAACTAGGACTTACGTTTAAATTGCTAACAACGTGAAGAGAATACGCGGGAAAACAAGAGACGTGAAAGTAAAAGCACGAATGTCTCTAAACGTAATGATTAAAAAGTACGAGTTGAGTAAGAGCATAAAATGAACGCGACTTATTACTGACTTACTCATATATAAAAAACGACGGCAAAATTATATATGTATATATGCCTCAAAATGTACTATACTATAAATTCATATATATTTACGTTAAATTATTATACGTACATAATTATTATACATATAACTATTATAAATATTTCCGCTACAGATTAGTGTAGTAAGTCACTATTAAAATGGCAAAACCTATTGGGTAACTAAAACTAAAAGACTAAAAATTCCCTTGTTTTCTATACGCCTAAAGTCTCCACTAGAGAAATATATATACATATATATACACTATATATACACTATATACTATATACACTATATACTATATATATACTATACACGCTAGCTCGCACGCACGCCCCCTACGCACGCACGCGCGCGCGCACGCTAGCTCGCACGCACACATATATATACATTAGTATTAGACACAATTAGACTAATTAAGCGAAAACTAGCGAAAACTTATCGCCGTTTTTACTAATTGACAGGTTGAGCCAGTTCTCGCCCATCGGCGTGCATGGCAGACGCAGACGCGCTTCGCTACGTTACGTACCTGTAAGCTGCAGTGACCGCATGATGTTACACTTGAATCGCTGCTGTATTCCCTCATCAGCTACTTCACTACTGTTAGCGCACACTACGCCGGATACTACTCCATGACACGTGCGTGTTTGGTGACGACAAACGCACAACCCGCGTCACAAACAGCTATCAAACGGGATGGGATGCAGTGCCGGTATACATATGTACCCTAGACTCGCGGTAAACACCGGCTATCTCACGATGCCCGCATACTCCCTGAAGACAAACGCTGCTTATCACACGCTGTTGTAACAAACTTTGACGGGACACATTTTTATTGACTACTACTACCGCTGAGGTTCTATTGCGCGTGCGCCAGAGGGCTAATCGCATACGATCTCAAATCAAGCAACACCGCCGATGACGTACTCATAAAATGTCCCGTAGTCCTGACGAAAGGGCGCCTCAAGACTTGAGCGCGTGTAAGACAGTTATGTAGTTCAATATTTGACATCCGTCAATGAGTATTTACCATCGCGTCCGATCTTGACAGTTCCGGGAAGCCTACTAGGAAGCGACTATACGTGCGAAACTACTACATGCCTCATAGTAGAGAGGCGCAAATGAAAAAGTGGCCTGGATAAAGATTTAAAAATCATTGAGAGGTAGAGAATGTCATCCACCCTAGGTAGTTAGTACATGGGGTGGGGCACCTGGCTAGGTAGGATGCCATCAAAGTTTTTTTCAAATAAGGCCTTTTTTAACCTTTTTTCTGCTGAATTGCAATTTTTCCAAAATCCGATAATTTTAGCCATAATGTAAAGGAAAATGCTCATGGAATGCTCAGTTTTTAGAGTAGAAGGTTTATTCAACACTCAAAATAAAGCTCTTGATCTGCTTGATGTGACAAAATAATACAAATTTGAAAAGAATTAATTCAAAGGGGTCAAAAAAAGTCAAAGTTTAGGCATTACCCTTTTTCCCCCGGGACCAGACCCTTTTTCACGATCGCCCCCCCCCCTAAGGGGCATCTGGTAAAGTAATAGGTAAATACTACCATTCAGAGGCTTAGGGACATATTGAAAAAGTTTTTCGGAAGTTTCTTAGAATGAGTGATCAATTAGGGGCCTGGTACTGGGGGTCCAAACTTCGACCCTATTTAAGGTCTCCACGTAATTTAAGTTTTTGAACATGTACAATGTGCATGAATGACTTCATGTTAAATTCCTCAGTGTAATTATAATTTTTAGCTTTTAATGCTCACATTTGGCACACATGTACTTTGATAGGTGCTTAACCGAATTAGAAATAGACCCCAACAAAATTGGCCTTTAAAGTGGGCGTGGCATCGAATTTTCAAAATGGCCGCCATGAAATTTCAAAATACATTTCTTAAGACATATCAACACTTCTAATTAACATTTTAGTGACTTTATTTACTCGACTGTGGTTTTAAACTAGACACGAGGAAATAATTAAGGTAATATTTAAATATGATATGTTTCTCATTTGCATATTTTCAAAATGGCTGCCGTGAAATGCCAAAAATACATATGCTTGGGCGTATTTTCAATTCTAAATAATATTTTTGAGTTTTAGTTAAAATTAACTTTAAATGAATTCTTATTGTGTTAACTTCTTATGTTAAACATGTCCATTATATTATATTCAATAAATAAATAATAAATAATTGGCTATAGGCATTAACGCATGTGTTCTTTTGAACAAGCAAACCCGCGCATGCAAAAAACCTTGCCGATGACAGCACCAGAGGTACATGACGAGTTCATGGCTTGAGAAGCGTTCTCAGTAAAGAAGACAGATAGCAAATTCTGCGAGATACCCACTCACAAGCACTAGAGCCACATTCAAGTTCCAATCACGCAGATAACAAGGTCAGTGGAGGAATTGTGAATAACCACCTTGCAAGCCAGCGCTGGGATAGCCGTGTGTTTAAGTACCACATGAACGTTCACGGATTGGCTGATGACACGCTTCGCTCTCTTGACTAACCTCCAGCCGAGACAGCAATGACGATTTAAGCCGACAGAGACTCTGGTCCAGCAGGTATTCAACGAGGATGAAATGATGTTAGCAGCTTTTGTCAGCGAGTTGCAAGCTTTGGGGTATTTTCCAATCGCTACGGAAACCTGGTTTTGTCTGTCCACGGTGACGTGCTCCTGATGATGCGAGGGATGAGCTACTTTCTGCTGAAGTGAAGGTACTAGCTTTAGTCACCAAATTTTGGTCAAATCACGCCTCAAAGACCATTCTGTGACTTTTTATATTTCTAGGATTCCTCAGGAATAAGGCAAAAACCTGTGCGCAACAATGCTACAAGGTAAAAGGTCCAGTCCAGAAAGACAAGGTCGCATCTGACTGGTAAGGCAGAAGAGATATTTTCCGTCGAACTTCTGCCGGTGCCTCAGGTAGTTGGCAGAGACGTTTAACTTGCCAAAATATTCTCAAACTACGAAACTCTCTCCAGGTCTCCACTTTCCCTTGTAAAGACAATCCGACAGCCTGGTGTCTGCCAAGGACAAGCGGACGCTCCAAGAATTCTCCACCTCAGAAACAGACTGCAAAATGCTGACAAACCTACCCAGAGTCAGTCTCCCACTGTCTTCCTGATAGATGCCAGCCCTCATTCAAGCCATTGGTAAAGCTGAAAAAGCCAGTACTTTGGGTATCTTGCCAGACGTCTTTTCGGGCATTGTGAAAGGAAAAGTTCTGCGAAGGGTATATTCTCGAGTTGATGTCTTGTAATCGACAGATATATTGCCGAGACATCCATCAAGGATGGCGACACGCTTCTGATCGAGCTGGATTGATGGGACCAATCAGTCAAGAGTGATAGATTTAAAGACAAGTTACACCAGACTGGAAAACAGTTGTTATCATCATTCCTAAGAACAAAGCAGAGCCTGGCTTCGCTTTCCTGAGTAAAGAACTTGTATGACGAGCTGCCAAAGGACCAATCAGAAGGGCATGAACTGATAAATCGCAAGGTGGATTCGACGATGCAGGATTCAGGCTTTGAGTCGTCACCCTTGCCGAAGTGACAGTCTCACCGCATGAAATCTAGCACGAGGAGGACGATACTCGGCTCATACTTACATGCGAAGGAGGCAAGCGAGTTTGGCTACAAAGCCGTTGTGGTTATCAAATGTCGTGACACAGATCCTTGTTCTTTGCTGTGGGTCATGTCAAAACACCTACCCATCATGAAATATGGAATGAGTTGTGAAACTTCAGAGAAGCCAAGTAACATTCCTGTTTATGCCAATTAACTACCAACCTTCCGTTATGGACAATGTGTATGCATACCATTCAGGTAACAGGCCTGCTGACACCAACAAGTCACTTTCAGGGAAAGCCAAGCGAAGTTACTGTTGGAAAGTCTATGTTGAAGAGACACAGCCTTATTGGCACACCTTGAGAATCCCTTGGCTGTCGAAGAAAAGGCTAGGGCGTCCCTGCAAGACAGTTCGTTGTGGGATTTTTGGATATGGAGAGCACCTCCTCTATAATGATTGTTAGATTGAAGATGTTCCAGCAAGGAGCAGCGAGTTCAGTCGAGTCCTTGCCACCTTCCCAGGATGCACTCATTTTTTTTTTGTGGCATCTTGATCGTGCCAAAATACCAGCTTTCATCTGGGAAGACAGGAAACTTAGACAACACCAAGATTGCCCCCTCCCTACTGACTCACGCTGGGTGTATGGAAAGGAAAGGGTTGAAGCCGAAATGATGAGATTGGATCCCTTCAAAGAAATGTGCGAACTAGTCACGTGCTCATGTAAAGCTGCATTGGGTGCAGCCGACAAGATGTGGCTGTCTTACAGGACATAGGGTCTTGCACCAGTGCTGGTCTTTGTGATTGGGGGTTTGTTCAGATTCAGCCTCAGTAAGAATGATAATTAGTCTTACTGAATTTTTGGTTGACGGGGAATGGCCATTAATTTTTCTGGTAATTCATCATTTCAGGCAAATTGTTAACTTATTTATATGCATTCTTGACAAAGGGTTTCTGAAAAACGAGTGCTACAAAAGGGTTAAATGCTCCCAAAAACGCTGTTCTTGTCATCTGCAACTTATGGAAAAAGGTAGATTTATTAATATCTAGACTTTGTAAATTACCACAAAACCATTAATGTGTATCATATTTTGCTGTTGAAGTGCAGTATAGCATATTCTGCAGACACCTGTTTTAGTAAAAAAAAGGGTCGAAGTTTGGACCCCCAGTACCCAGCCCTAAATTGATCAATCATTTTCAAAACTTTCGAAAAACTTCCTCAATATGTCCCTAAGCCTGTGAATGGTAGTATTTTATTTACCTATTACTTACCAGATGACCCCTTAGGGGGGGGGGAATCGTAAAAAAAGGTCTGGTCCCGGGGGAAAAAGGGCAATGCCTAAACTTTGACCCTTTTGAATTAATTCTTTTTAAATTTGTATTATTCTGTCACGTCAAGCAGATCAAGAGCTTTATCTTGAGTGTTGAATAAACCTTCTACTCTAAAAACTGAGCATTCCATGAGCATTTTCCTTTACATTATGTCTAAAATTATCGGATTTTGGAAAAATTGCAATTCAGCAGAAAAAGGGTTAAAAAGGGCCTTATTTTGAAAAAAAATTTGATGGCATCCTACCTAGCCAGGTGCCCCAACCCATGTACTAACTACCTAGGGTGGATGACATTCTCTACCTCTCAATGATTTTTAAATCCAAATTTCTGGTCCGTGCCTCTCTACTATCACGTAATCACGTTAACATCGCTACTACCTTTGCCAAACATGGGTTAGTGATCACCTCCACCCATTATGCAATTAATTTCATCACTCTAGTATTAGTGCTGTAGACGTTGAAGAGTTAGTGTAAAATTGTACAATGTCCAGTTTTCTGCGAATAATACCGGTTTTTGAACGTGGGTTTTATATAAATGATGTGCCGGCAAAGATGTTTACCGATGTCTGTAACGTATTTGATATTCGACAAGAAACATTGAATAATGGGGTTTATGACGATTTTATTTTAGACTACAATTTGTGCTAATTACAGAATCAAAACTAAGTATCAAAGTAGTTTTGTTTTAGGACATGGTATACTTGACAATAGTGACAAACATTCGCCTACTACATGTGTTTAAAAACTTTTTTTCACTCGAACACATTTCAAAATTCTTTGCAAAAAGTACTGATTTTACATAGATGTACATACGACAAACAAATACACGAATTCAGTGCTAAATAATAAAATCAATGCAATTTTAGGTTCAAACTTACTAGCCCCCTCTTTTGGGCACACTTCCTTACAAAATTTTCCACGCAAACTTAATGCAACCTTCAATGAGTAATTAACAGTTACACGAGATGAACACTTGACTAAAACTGTAACTGACCTCACACCTAGGACAGAATAGTGTATGCTATGTGAGAAACAAATAGGATTAAATTTCAGAAGCATGATACAGAATCACTGACAGTACATGGTTCCTCTATGTATGTATACACTTACCTTACACTGACTGAAATTAATGGTATACATTGGATAACCAATACTCGTACTTTTGAGACAGATATACAGAACACACAAACATATAAACATCAATAATATCGTGAGAGATTACAATGAAACTCACCTATCCAAACATACACTGGAACAACTTAAAGAAAATTTTAACACTTAGCCGACCAATAAACTTACAGCATAATATCAGGAGTTAATAAAGACAAAATTTTGTCTTTATTAACTCCTGATAATATGTATGTACCCAGTACATGCTCAGCACAATAGACAACTTTGTAGGGATAATGACAGAAATATCACACAAATGCTGAACTTCTTTACTTAGGCTTAGCTTCAACATTTCAAAATTACTTAAATGTATTGCAAGGGTAAATATAGTCCTTGTCCTTTTTTCTACATCATGTTATACCATTTCGCAAGACGTTTGACATATTACATGTAATAATGACATATTGAAGTTGGGAATATCTATATCTTAGTGAATCAACGTTAAAGCAACCAGTCAAAATGAACATCGTAATGTCACAAACACACCCACACTCCACTCTCTCATCCTATGTTACACCTCTAGTTCCACACATCATCTACAGAATGCTAAAATTCCACTGAATACAATAGCTGATAATTAAAGCCTACTTATAGCTACTGTATCCGCCGTAGCCACTACTGCTACCAGAACCACTACCAGAGCCATAGTAGCCAGAGTACGACTGCTGCTGCGGTTGCTGCTGCGGGTACTGCTGGCTGGAATTCTGTTGTGCATAGTACTGCTGCCACTGCTGTGAGTAGTCGCCTGAACTGTAACTGCTGGGAGTGGTGTAGGAGGATGCTTGGTGGCTCTGCTGCCCGTAGCCAGACCCGTGCCCACTACCATAGCTCTGAAAGGCATGTAGACATACAGACGCAGTGAGCACAACAGTAGACTTCACGATACATATTCGAAGCCCAAGTGTCCAAGATGTCATGGGGAGTGACTCTCACACCTCAACACACACTGCTCATCAAATGTGATAATAGGACGAGGATTTAGATGGCTTCCCACAATTTTCTCAATTAATTCTGACTTATTATCAACTAGGAAATAGCAGGGGTAGAAATTAACTTTTGAACACGGGAGTCCAACGTACTCCCTACCCTCAAAAAGAAGAAGTCCGCAGTCTGAGGTTCAAAATTAAAGATATTAACAATAACGCATGTGCTTATTTTTAAGATTCATGCGGTTGCACGTCTGCCAAATTTTGTTTGGACATTAGCTGAAAAATACGGTAATTCCACGAGGCCGTGCTCTGGAACGAACTAGTTAGTATGGCAGAATTTTCAGGGAGTCACACGGACTCCTGCATATGTCAAATCAGGGAGTCCGACAGTAAATCAGGGAGGATTTGACTCCGGTTAATTTCGCACCCTGAAATAGTCGTCTTTTTTGCTCGTTCATGCACAATGCCTGAATGCGTTGATGTGGTTATTCCAGCGTTTACCACCGAGCCGTTCACCTCAGTCGGTCTGTGACGAATACCGTCGCAAATTCTTTTTATTAACAGCTCTGGCCTCAAAAACATTGCTGCACGTTAATGGCTTACCAGAAACACATCGTGTGAATAATGCAGTAGGTATATATAATGCATTTCATTGTAAAGATAAGCAAATTTACAGGACAAGCTACTAACCGGCTGTGATCCATAGCTCCCATATCCTTGACTCTGGCCATAGCCCTGGCTGCCATAGCTCTGACCATATCCTTGATGGCCGTATGAACCCTGACCATATCCACTTCCCCAGCTTGACTGACCGGACTGCAACAACACAAACCATGTAGATAACAGCACACAATCACCCAATAATACTTACTTATTATAAATACAAGCGAGTGCAGTTTAAGAAACCGAAAGAGATGATGCTGTTGATAAGAGATGATGCTGATGATAAGAGATGATGCTAAAGATATTCGACTACGGAAATGATCTTATTCACATCACACCTGTTGTGACGGCTGTTTTGCTTGCCACCCTCTAGACGAGTATGGGGATTGGTAACTATCTCTGCTGTTGTTGCCACGACTACCGTATGACGAGCCTGCGAACAGATAGGTTCGATTAGAATAGATATACAGTCCGACCTCCTTTATCCGGAAATCTCTATTAACCGGCCGCGATCTCGCAGTGTATGTTCTCTGTTTTTCATTCATTTCCACCTAAAAATCTCGCTCAAAACTCGCGCGATGTGTGCGTGTGTTGTCCGCTCGTGTCCGCTATGCCTCCAGTAAAATTTCTGTTTTATTTCATTTTATTTCCATTTCATATAAACCATAAAACACAAAATAATCATAGCACCGAGTAAATACATTATCACATGCATAATAAACCCTACTGAACTGCATAGAAATGCTGTGTTTGAGCATAACTCTCATATCCGGCCAAATCCCATATCCGGATGGGTGCCGGTCCCGACGTGGCTGGATAAAGGAGGTCGGACTTATAGAAAATACATAGATTTAACTCTTATTTGCACACATTCAGCATGTACAATGTATGAAGTAAAAACACACTATGCAAAGAAATGTGCACAAAATAGTTCACCATTATTCATAGGTTTTCGATTTATTTTAGAGTCGTCAAGAATGCCTACCAAAACCTGTCTGGTCAACAAAGTCAAATCTTTACGGGGAACTGTCACATTAAACCCCGTGTGGCTTACCCGTCACAATAAATAATGAAAGTGTCAATGACACTGTAGCTCACCACAAAAAAAGAACACAAATGAGTGAGTAAGAAGAAGTCAGTTTTAATTGAGCAACCATCGACGTACATTATAGAAACGATTGCCAGATCTGTATATCGCAATAATAATTTATAAACCAAAATGAATCACAATTTGTGACCGTAGATGGCGCTATACCCGCTTTGTAGCGATGGCGTTTGAAATAAATAGGTTATGCTGCGTTCCGACATGTTTTGTAAAATTTTACTCTAATATAGACGTTTTATCGGCAGGGTGGAGAGGAAATACCAATTTTGCATTTAAAGTCCCAGTCCAGAAAGACAAGGTGATTGAGGTAAAGGCAGAAAGAGATATTTTCCGTCGACTTTTGGTAGACTCGGGTAGTGGGAGAGACGTTAACTTGGAAAATATTCTCAAACACAAACTCCAGTTCCACTTTCTCTTGTAAAGACAAATCGACAGCTTGTGTCTGCCAAGAACAAAGCGGACCTCCAAGACATTCTCACCGAGAAAACAACAGCAAAAATAGTGACAAACCTATACAAGAGTCAGTCTCCCACCTGTCTTCTCATAGATGCACCGGCCCTCATTCAAGCCATTGGTAAGCCTGAAAAAGCCAGTACCTTTGGGGATCTTACAGACGTCTTCTCGGGCATTGTGAAAGGAAAGTTTGGAAAGGGATATTCTCGAGTTGATGTCTTGTTCGACAGATATTTGGAGACATCCATCAAGGATGGGACACGTTCTGATCGGGCTGGATTGATGAGACCAATCAGAAGGGTGATAGATTCAAGACATGTCAAGTTACCACAGACCTGGAAACAGTTTATCACTCATTCCAAGAACAAAGCAGAGCTGGCTTCGTTTCTGAGTAAAGAACTTATGACGAGTGCCAAAGACCTGTCAGAAGGGCATGAACTGATAATTGCAGGTGGATTCGACGATGCAGATCAGGCTTGGTTGTCATGCCGAAGTGACATCTCACAGCTGAAATCTAGCCACGAGGAGGCAGATACTCGGCTCATACTACATGCGAAGGAGGCCAAGGAAGTTGGCTACAGCCGTGTGGTTATCCAATGTCGTGACACAGTCTCACAGATGTCCTTGTTCTTGCTGTGGGTCATAGTAAACACCTACCATCTGAAATATGGATGAGTTGTGGAACTTCAGAGAAGCCAAAATACATTCCTGTTCATGCAATTAACTACCCACCTTTGGTTATGGACAATGTTATTGCATACCATTCGGTAACAGGCTGTGACACAACAAGTCAGCTTTCAGGGAAAGCCAAGCGAAGTACTTGGAAAGTCTATGTGAAAGACCCAGCCTTATTGGCACACCTTGGAGAATCCCCTGGACTGTCAGAAGAAGCTAGGGCGTCTGCAGAACAGTTCGTTTGTGGGATTTATGGATATGGGAGCACCTCCTCTATAAATGATGTTAGATTGAAGATGTTCAGCAAGGGGAGGAGTTCAGTCGAGTCCTTGCCACCTTCCCAGGATGCACTCCATTTGCATCTTGATCGGCTTGATCGTGCAAATTACCAGGCTTTCATCTGGAAGAAGGCATTAGAACCAAAACCAGATTGCCCTCCCCTACTGTCACGGCTGGGTGATGGAAAGTGGAAAGTTGAAGCCGAAAATGATGAGGTTGGATCCCATTCCAAAGAAATGTGCCGAACTAGTCACGTGCTCATGTAAAGCTGAGTGCAGCCCGACAAGATGTGGCTGTCTTAAGACAATAGGGTCTTGCACCAGTGCTTGTCTTTGTGAGGGAGTTTGTCAAGATGAGCCTCAGTAAATGATATATGTAGTCTTACTGATTTGGGTTGAGGGAATGCCATTAATTCTGGTAATTCATCATTTCAGGAAATTGTTGAACTTAGTATATGCATTTTGACAAAGGTTTCTGAAAACGGTGGTACAAAAAGGGTTAAAATGTCCCAAAACGCTGTTCATGTCATCTGAACTTATGGAAAAGGCAGATTTATTAATATCTAGACTTTGTAAATTACCACAAAGCCATTCATGTGTATTATATTTTGCTGTTGAAGTGCAGTATAGCATATTCTGCAGACATCCTGTTTAGTGAAAAAAAGGATCAAAAGTTTGGACCCCCAGTACCCCCCTAAATTGATCAATCATTCTCAAAACTTCGAAAAACTTCCTCAATATGTCCCTAAGCTGTGAATGGTAGTATTTACCTATTACTTTACCAGATGACCCCTTAGGGGGGCAATCGTAAAAAAAAGGTCTGGTCCGGGGAAAAGGGTAATGCCTAAACTTTGACCCTTTTTGACCCTTTGATTATTTCTTTTAAATTTGTATTATTCTGTCACGTCAAGCAGATCAGAGCTTTATTTTGAGTGTTGAATAAACCTTCTACTCTAAAAACTGAGCATTCCATGAGCATTTTCCTTTACATTATGCTAAAATTATCGGATTTTGGAAAAATTGCAATTCAGCAGAAAAAGGGTTAAAAAGGCCTTATTTGAAAAAAACTTTGATGGCATCCTACCTAGCCAGGTGCCCCACCCCATGTACTAACTACCTAGGGTGGATGCATTCTTACCTCAAGATTTTTAACCTAATTTCTGGTCCATGCCTCTCTACTACTATATAGGCGACTTGTGTTGTCAAGCTACTTATGCGGAAAACATGTCACAATAAGGGTTTACATTCAATACCTTTAAGAACAGCGAGGTCGTTATGATGCGATGCCTGTTGGCTGCTACATACGGACAAGCGAAATGAGATTTTCAACGTTTAAATACACGCGCGAACGGTGGTGACGAAAACGGGCGGACGTTAGAATAAACGGTATGGTTTATATCAACCATACCCGTGAACGTATGGACGCATCATCTGTATTTTTACTGCGCCGGTGCGCTATTCTACACATTACACATACACTTGCCTGGGGATATTATAAATGATAAAACATAGGTGACTCAAGCTATATGGCATCCCGTCCGCCATCGAGTAGACATCTAGATACGCTTGAACCAGTGGCAAGTGAACGTGGGCAGCTAGGGGAGAGAATGCGAATGCAAAGAGAGCGTGGCAAATGCACGATGCAAGTGCCATGGCAAGGGTCAAGATGCAAGTGCTAAG